TGCTTGGAAACGGGGAACCACTTGCCAGCGGGTTGCCCTCCACCCCTCGTGGGAAGGGGCCTCGTGCGCAGGAGTGCTTTGGGGCTAGGGCGGTGATGGGCCGGGGGCAAGGCAGCGGTGTGGTGCTGTACTCGGCCTAGAGAGCCGCCTGGCTAGCTCTTCAAGGGCCTTTTCTCATGTGGTGTGGGGCCCGGCGTGGGAGGGTGGAGCAGGGCAGCGAGACTTGTTGCCACCGCTGTGCCAGGGCCTCCACACCAGCCGCGCCACCAGCAGTATGATGAGTAACGGACTGGGGGGCTGCACTGCCCTCACCTCCTCCCACCACCAGAGACGAGAGGGGTTGGGGGGCAGCAGCACCTGGGCCATGCCCCTCTGCCCCACACGCTGGAGGTGGGCACTGCAGGTCGGGAGTGAGGGGCACTGGCACAAGTTGGGAGTGAGTGGGGCCTTGAGTCCAGAAAGGTTGAGAGCAACTCCTATAGACCATACTCCTAATGTGCACCAGAGCCCTAAGTGACATCATTTTTATTAAGCTTGCAAAGTAATTAAATGTCAGAACTAAACTTCCCCATGCAACTCGAATGCCTCTCCCTTGTACACATGCAATATGAAAGTCTTCCATTACATTATCACTGCTATGTTGTCTGCAAAAGCCCCTGCCTTATCCAGCATAGAACATGAATTTCGCTCACTTCACCAACAGCTGTTTGGTATTTTGTTTCTAGTTTAAGTATAGGACTCCGTGTCTAATTTAGTGCACAAGACAATTATTTATTTCCTCAGGGACTTTTCTATGGCTCTCATCCATATTATATCTGAGTGCTTCACAAAAGGTAATTTATTTTCACAACACTTTTGAGGGGTAATAGTATCCCCATTTTACAGGTTCATCATGGAAAGAGAACAGTTCAAACATTCTTTAAATTGGGTGCCAAATTTGGGGCAGCAAGGTACTGTTTTTTCATTATATAGTCCTTTATATGTTTAAAGCACAACTTAATTGCAGGTGAGGCTGCTCAAAACAGCTGCAAATCAGACTCCAAAATGTCACCTGGAGATAGGCAGTGAGCAAGACACAGTTTGTGACCACCTGTGGAGTTTTGTTTGTGTCTACGCTGCAGTCCCAAGGTATGACTCCACCTTATTTAAATACATTCAAGCCAGGTTTAAGAGAGCTAACTCAAGCACTGATAGAAGTGTAGCTGTAACAGTAAAACCCACCCAGGTCCATGTGTAACTTGGGTGTCTTCATTGACCTCTGTATGGAGCAGCACCAGAAGGATGAGACAAAAACATTGCTGTGCATTTCACTGATATTTACTGACCGTAGAGGAATGCTGAGATTCAGGCAGATTTGGAAGGACTTGCTTTTGAGGAAGCAATCAGATGCGTGGCCAGGGAAAGCAGTAGGTCTTCCAAGAGTGGTGTGGTTTTATAACAAAGCAGGGGCATCCAAAACCTTAGCTAGGTGCCCTCCCCTCAAAATATGTTTGATTGGACATTTGTCTATTATAATATCACAATAGTTGAGGACCCGGGCAATAATCCCCTTAAGTCCAACACATTTGTCAGATTGGTTTTTCCCTAGCTTCCTTTCACAGATGTCAGATTTAACATGATCAAGAAGTTCATGATTCATGGTAATTTCATAATAACTGAGCAAAAGAGGCAAAACAGGAGAGTAGATTAGGAAACAGTTGTTTCATTTGAGCATGCTTGAACATAGTAGGTTCTTCACAGAAGATATGATTCTTAGTTCTTTGAAACAGGGAGCTTGATAGAAAGAAAGCCATATAACATTTCAAAGGGAGGCTACAACCAAACATTGCATTTGTTCTGGGATAAACCATTTTCTCTTTGGAAAAAGTGCAATCACTCAGACATCCATGCGTGTTGTCCCGGCATAAATCCTAAAAAGGTTCATGGGTTAAGTAGTACTAACAGTTTATCCCAGGACATTGCAAAGTGCGTCTGAATGGTTATCCTGAGATTGTATCATTGAATAAGTAACATAAAAGTAGAAGCATATTCAGCCACTCACTAAACCCTGATTAGAATGATGAAGTGTGTACACAAAAATCCTGGGACATTTCTGTTCCAGGACAAACATAGGCACAACTTTTTTAGGGACAAATGCAACATCTGTTCCTAGCTAAAGATGCATTGCACATTATATATACAGCTACATAGTGAGATCATGAAGACAGGGATGTTTTTCCTGTGTAGTTTAGGATGTTAAGCACAGCAGCAGCATTTGATAATGGGTAGGTAGTATTAGACATGTTTAAACTCTTAACAACAGAAAAAGTTAAAGGCATTTCATTCATAACAATGAAGTGGTTTCTCAGTAGTAACCAAAGATGGCCATCCATAGCTCCTATCTCAAAAACCAATAAAATATTTCCCTGAAGTGTTTCCATAGGTAGCTAACCATAGCATAAAGGCACAGGTGACAGATATGGTCGTCCCCCCGCCCCCACACACACTTTTAAGAGGTTTGACTTGTATGTACATACTAGGTGCATCTAAGTGTGCGGGTTACTGTGGAGTAGGCTAATTAACTCCACAATAAAGTGTCACCATCTACATGTGTGCTGGTATTAGGGCATAGTAAACTAACTCTGCCATAAGACAGTACTCTTGGGGACAGTACTATCTTATGGTGGCATACTTGACAGCACTGAAACACATGTGTAGACAGTGACCAGGGTCATAAATTGTGCCCAGTCAGCCCAGCCAGCTAGGGACCTGCTCCACCCCAGCTCAAATTGCTGCTGTCTCAGGTGCTCAAGTAGATACAGCACCTGGGGACAGTTTACTCTGGCTCAAACTGCTCCAGAGTTTATTGTATCACATTAATTGCATGTGTAGATGCACTCACTAAGACATAAAACTTGCTCTAGTTTCCCTAAGGAACCAAAGGCTGGTTAGGTGCGATACACATTGACAATACCTGAACTAAGCCATTTGCTTTTCTAGCTCCAGCAGTAGAATGTATGCATGACTATGCAGTCCAAGGTATTGATCTAAAGATTTTTATTACATTTTTTAAATGGAATTCTCCCCACTAATCCATTTGTCCAGTGCTCCAAGATACCAGTTGGCTTCACTAATTTCTGACTTCAATCCCTTGCTGAAGACAGTTCTATTGAACAAATTTAATTCTTGCCTAAGCCTATTACTCTTAGAGCAATTGTTTTCTGTGCTTTGATATGAGAGAATTCTTGCTACAGTGGAAATCAGATTCTCCACACTAATGCACAGCTCCACAAATCAGGGGGTAGAGAAATAGGTGGAGGGAGAAAAAATTATTTTGGGGGGGCTGAACACATACATGCATGCGCATGCACCGCCCCCAGTGGGAAGTCTGTGTGGGAAAGGGCAGAGGAAAGGGAAAGGGCCATGGCGGGGTGAGCAGAGGGAGTTGGGCTGGGGCAAGCCTTGTACAGCCAGGGCGGGGTGCAGGATGGAACTGAGTGGCTCGTCTGGGGGGTGCCCAGCATGGAGAGAAGGCCGCAGCTCCTGGTGCTGTATGCATACCAGGAGGCATGGGAGGCATGTGCCCAGATCTGTGTAGGGTGGGGCCAGCTATGGGCCATGCCTGGCACTTCCCAGCAGGAGGCTGGGCCATGCTTCATAGTTTCATAGTTGGTAGGGTCGGAAAGGACCTGAGCGGATCATCAAGTCCGACCCCCTGCCCTGGCAGGAAAGAGTACTGGGATCAAACGACCCCAGCAAGGTGTTCACTAGCCTCCTCTTAACTACCCCCAGGGTAGGAGCCAGCACCGCTTCTCTTGGAAGTTGGTTCCAGATCCTAGCCGCCCTGATAGTAAAGTAGCACCTCCTGATATCTAGCCTGAATCTACCCTCTGTTAGCTTGTGACTGTTATTTCTTGTCACTCCTGGTAGTGCTTGGGGGAACAGGGACTCTCCCAATGCCTGCTGATCCCCCCTGACTAGTTTCTAAACAGCCAGTAGATCCCCCTCAGCCTTCTCTTGTGGAGGCTGAACAGGTTCAGGTCCCTTAGCCTCTCCTCATAGGGCCTGCCCTGCTGACTCCTAATCATGCTGGTGGCCCTCCTCTGGACCCTCCCCATGTTATCCACATCCCTCCTGAGGTGCGGCACCCAGAACTGAATGCAGTAGTCCAACTGCGGCCTGACCAGTGTCACATAGAGGGGGAGGATCACCTCCTTGGACCTGTGGATGCATGACAAGGTACGGTTAGCCTTCCTGACCGCATCCCCACACTGTCGGCCCATGTTCATTTTGGCATCAATAATGACTCCAAGATCCTTTTCTGCCTCTGCACTGACGAGATGGGAGTTCCCCAGCCTGTAGGTATGCTGCTGGTTCTTCCTCCCCAGGTGCAGTACCTTGCACTTGTCAGTGTTGAAACCCATCCTGTTCTCATCCGCCCACCCCTGTAACCTGTCTAGGTGCGATTGCAGCCTATTCCTCCCTTGTAGTGTGCCCACTTCTCCCCAAATCTTAGTGTCATCTCAGAATTTGAACAGTGTGCTTTTTACACCCCCGTCCAAGTCACTGATGAAGATGTTGAACAGTGCGGGTCCAAGGACCGAGCCCTGCAGAACCCCACTGTCCACATCCCTCCAGGTCGAATAAGACCCGTCCACCACCGCTCTCTGGGTGCGGCCCTCCAGCCAACTAGTGACCCATTTGACTGTGTAGGTGTTGATGCCACAGTCTCCTAGTTTTTATAATGAGAATGGAGAGAGAGACAGTGTCGAAGGCCTTCCTAAAGTCCAGAAAGATTATGTCCACTGCTACACCTGCGTCTAAGGATTTTGTCACCTGGTCATAGAAGACCACCCCTGCGCTTGAGGGAGGCAGCGGTGGTGCTGGACGTGGGGGTTGGAGGGACTACAATGAATTTT